ATGTCTGGCTGGCAACCACGCTTGCCATACTTTGTAGAGTACCCTGGCATTGGAAGCCCTACAGACAAAAGATGTTTTGAAAGATGTTAGAGCTTCCAAGGATTTTTTTCCTTCAAAGACTTCGATGCACTGGAGTAATTTGTCAAGGGCTAATGGGAAAAAAAAAAAAAAAAATTTGGGAACTGTTTCATCTGCTTCAGGTGGGCAACAAAATATATATAAGGAACAAATGCAGGACTGATGGAAGGCCTGGGTTACTGAGAAATGCTTTGGGACAAATTATTTATGTGATTAGGAAATTAGTAGAGCTTTAAAAAAAAATAAAAAAAGGGATGAGGCTAGTGACAAGCTGCCAGGCTGATGAGTCACTATTATGATACAGGTTGGAAATTCTTATCTCTTTGCTATGGACTGAACACTGTTTTCTTCTTATGACATGATAGAAGAAAATAGTTTGGTAACTCTCGAAGTATCCCAGGCAGATCTGTGTTTTAGTTTTGTTCTTCTTGCTTTTAATCAATATGCTTTTGCATGGGAAGCACCTTGCTGTGGCCAGATTTCAGTTGTATAAACACCTGTATCTGTATTGCAACAGCCATTATTGTAGACCTCAGCTTTAATGTCTCTTGTCATTGATGTCTATGTTTTCTGTAGCTCTCAAAATCTGAGAGCTCTGCATTGAATATTACATTAGAGTACCCCAGAAGTCTTGCAACTATTGTGAGTAGTCAGTGTTTTAGGAGTGTATACCACAACTCTTTTTTAAGATAGTCACTTGAAAATTCAGTTTGGGGGCTAGGTAGCAGAGGAAATTAAAATATTCTCATCAGATGTTTTACCACCTGCTACTAACTCTTGTAGCCTAGAAAATGCTTGCTTGATTTTTGCTCAGGAAGTGTTATACTACTTTTTTTTTTTCATTTAAAAGTAAAACCACAGCTGTCAACAGGCCAAATATAAAAGTGGTGATAAAAAGAATCATTCTTGTATGGTATGAAAGAGGAATAGATACTTCTTCAGGAATATACTTTATCTTCCTTTAGCTAAGAGTGGTAGATTAAACATAGTCAGCAAGCAGAACCAAGGCAGTGAACACCAATGTCTCATTCAGGGCTACAGCAGTTGCCCTGACTGCTCTCAGCTTTCACATACTTCTAATAATTGGGAAGAGATTTTTTTTTTAAAAAAAAAAAAAAAGTTTCTTGACAAAGAAATACAAACATTTCTCCTCTTTTTTTACAACTAATCAGAAGGAAAAAAGTCAGAAGCAGCAGCATGATTTCAGTCTTTTCACCATATGATGTATCATAAAGCTGATGAAGCATGAAGATCACAAAAAGGAGAGCATCAAATCTGCATGACAACAAAACAGAAGAAAAGAACAAATTTTAATTGCGCATCTTTTTCACAGACTTTCTCACTAATAATTTAAATTTCTTTGAATTTGTATCCACTTGGATACCAGCTTAGGCGTGTGTCTGAAAAGGAGCAGAAAAAAATATGAAGATTTATACAAGCTGTAAATCCGCTTGCTCAGCAATTAGAAAAGCTAGTATGCACTGTAATGCATTTCCCATTTCTGTTTCATAGAGTTTAAGTGTATTTAAAATTTATGTTCTGGATGAAAGAATTTTAGTAATCTGTATTAGCCAAAAGAAAACTAAGAAGCTGAACTGCTTTGTCCTCCCTCTGCCTTTAAAAGTGTGGCTCGAATTCCAACCTGATGGAAAGCAATAGGCAAGAACGTCCACTTCTTTCAGAGGCCAGGATTTCATTCCAGAAATGATTTCTCAGGCTTACGGGAAGAAACATACTGTTACAAAAATGTAGGCTAACAAAACGCTTTTTCGCTGTCAGGAGTGAAAAGTGATTTCATCCTTTTGAAACCATGGAGATTGTTTAGAGTAATAACAGTACAGTGATTTCACTGGAATTTAGTAGCTGAAACAAGCCCTTCCTGACTGTTTGAAATGGATTGTAATATGTTTATGGGTGCACATGACCTGCTGATAGCATGAACAGTAACTTCTTCTATCAGGCATTGCAAAGGAGACTTTATGGCTGGGTGCTGAATGTGCACCAAGTGGCCTGATTTTGTGTTGTCGCAGGGAGATGTAATTGCCATGGCTGGAAATACTGTTGGCCATTTTTTCTATACATGTGTGCATGTACTTTTTAAATCTGATATAACTGTGTGTGGTTTGGTTACCCATTCCTGGGAAGTTATGAAGTACAAAGATACTACTCTTCCAGCCAAACAAGCGCAAGAATAATTGTATAGTATAAAACAATGGCTAGAAAAAATATTGCTAAGTGTTTTATTATTACAGTGTTATTACAATGTTATAGCATATTACATGCTATTATCATACAAAACAGGGAATGTATTATTGCAGAGGCCTGTAACCGTTGCTAAACAGGATATTGAGATACATAGATGTCTGTCTCCTGACAGCGTTCCTAGTATAGCCCTATAGGCACAGAAGATGGGCTTAAACTATCCTTGCAGCACCCTGGGCCAGCTAAAATCTAGAAACTTTTTATGGCCAGCAACACTTCCAGTATCTTAGTATATGACTATGTTTCCAGGTCCTCCTTCTTCCTACAAGAGGAAGTAGTACAATTCCTCACTTAAATCCAGATAATGGTAGTGGGCTCATTTTTTCTCCACCGCTCCCTCCCCCCCCCCCCCCACACACCCACACTTTTTTTTGCTTTTGTTTGGAACCTGTGCCCTTCAACATAGCCTCTGTTGAGGATGATGCTTTGTGAGAGGTGTTAGCCATGACTCATTCTCTCTTGACACCTAGACACAGGTGAACATGTACACCGCCTCCTTGGCAAGCTTCTGGAATCTGAACATTTTTTTCAAAATTTTTCTCACTTTTACTGTGCCACTTCATCCATTGCACAATTACTCAGGCTCCCTCAAAGTATCAAGGAACATACAACAGTGCTATGTTTTAGAAAGCTAGAAATAGTAGGTGCTTTAAAATGTCCTACTGAAAAAAAAAAAGTTTTTAAGTAACTTTCTTGCGTTTTTATTTACCTCAGAACATGCAAGTTGGAGGAATTAGGATCCCTGTGGCTATCCATCATCATATTGTCAACTTCATACATCACTCCACCGTGAAAGAATTGTCTTTTAACTTTTCTGGAAAACAAATTGTGGCATAACTGCTATACACAACAAGCCAGTCAAGCAAAAAGTAATGGCTTGCTGCCATGCCCCTGTGTCTCTTCTGCTACATAGAGCTGTGGGGTTGGGAAAGACCTCACAAAAGTTGCTCATTTCCTCCTGAGTGTGGAGAACCCAGACTGGCCCCAGAGGAGCCGTCTGACTTGTTCTGCAGTGTCCCATGAGGAGATCCCAAAATCCATGGGCAGGCTGTCCCACTGATCGGTTAGAAAGCTTTTTCTAACATACTGCTTAACTGTTACTTAATGCTAGTTAGGGATGTTTCTGTCAGTACTCAGTGGGTATATGGTGGGTCAGCCGTGGCTCCTCCCACCAGCAGAATCAGGGAGAAAGTAGGAGGAACAGGAGCAAGAAAACTCGTCGTCAAAATAATGAAAGGGAAGTCACTCACCGGGTACTGTTGCATGCCAAACAGACTCAGCTGGGGGAAGTTAACTTAGTTCATAGCCAGTTAATGTCAAGATTTAATTACTGATGTGGGTATTGGGAAACAAAAAAAGACAAACATTAAAATACTTAGGGGGAAAACCATCTCTCCTTTTCCCAGGCTCAACACCTGTCCTCACTTCCTCATCACTGCCTCACTCCAGACACCTCTCCTATGCCTTGTCATGGCTGTGGGTGACACCCGCAGGGGCTTGGGGTCAGGACGTCGCAGTTTTTTTCTGCTGCTCCTTGCTTCTTGCACTTTTCCTGTTCTCCACAGGCCATAAGTCCTTCTGGGGGTGCACCTGCCCTTCTTTTAGTCTTGGTGTTCCCTCATTCCCTTCTCCTCCATGGTGGAGCCAGCTAGGGTTAGGCATGCCCGGCATGGGGCAGCCCCTGACCTCTTCTCACAGAGGCCACCCTGCAGCTCTCCACTACCTTTCCATGGAAACCTAATGATTGATCTCTGTCCTATATATCGAAGATTGTTCTGTTCCTCCACAGGCTGCCTTTTTTCTTCAGGTTAACCAAATGCACTTCCTTCAGTCTTTCCCCGTACGTCTCACTTTACTTTTGGATTCTTTCCAGTTCATCTGTATCTTTTGTAATATGTTGTGCCCGAAACTGGATGTAGAAGTTGGCTGAGGACTCATCTGCCTTTAGAAAATGACATAATTGCGTCTCTTGCCTTACCTCAGACAGTTATTGTACAACAGATGCACATCTTTTGTTTTGCTTGGGTCTGATCGGATTCTGCTTAACTGTCTCTCCACAGCTTTTTAAATACACAGTTAATTTCTCCTTCTGAAGTGCAGAACTAAGTAAATTCTTAGTTTTGTCATGTTGATTTTGGACAGTCTCTCAAGCTTGCCTAATCTGTTCTGCAGAGTGCTTGCCATCCCCCTGGGCTTGGAGACCTCTCTCTTTTCCCGTTCAGATGGGACCTCACAGAGCTCCTGCAGCGGGGATCTGCTGTCTCTTCCCCTGCTGCCATGCACACCAGTGCTCAGTACTCATCTGCTGGCATTTCCTAAACACATTGTGTTCTTTCATGTTGGTATTTCAGGCCTCCTGCTTTCTTTCATCAAGTCTCCCCCCATACTTTTGGTTCGGCTATGAGGATTTTTAACACTGCCTACTTATATTTTTGCTTGTCAAATCTGTATACAGATGCTAAAAATGTTTGGCAGATTTGGTATCCCTCTCCCATGCCATTTTGCAGTGTTTGGGCAAGGCTCATGACTGGCTTCTACTTGCCTTTAGAACCCACGGAGCAAATGAAGAGCGTGGCTTTGAGATCCGCACTTCACTATGCTCCATTTATGGTCATAGAAAAGCAGAGTCATATAATAAGGAATTTTAATGTGTGTTTCAGCCACGGGAACAAAGAAGTATTTTCTTGTCGAGGAATCAAATTGGCAGTAGACTGGTTTTTGGAAAGAGGCCACAAGGATGTTACTGTGTTTGTGCCAGCATGGAGGAAAGAACAGTCGAGACCTGATGCTCTTATCACAGGTAAGCTCTGTTCCACCTTTGCTCATTTGTGTGATGCTTTGCACAGCATGAGTGCTGCTGCTTAAATGGATGAATCTTTAGAAATGAAAGACTATAATAGGAAGTGTATTTGGTGTAGTTACTTCATTGTGATCTTCAGGAAGGAAAAACACAAAGCGATGCCCTCTCCAAGTCCTCCTTTGCTGCTCACCTGATAAATTTTCTGTTATCGTTGCTACTTCTTGAAGAATGTAATTGCCATTTTTAATTTTTTTTAATTTGTTACGCCTATCTAACCTTGGCAGCGAAGGTGTTTGAAGCTAGTGATTTGCTGGATGATCTTTCTTGTGGTGAGCAGATTCTGCCAGGCTGGCCTGTCTGCTGGTCACCTGTGGTGAGTCACAGCCTGCACTTGGGGTTACAGGAATTATCCTGACAGAAAGGGAATTGTTCCTCTTTCCATCATTACTATTAACAAGTGAAACAGCTTTTGAAAATTTTAATTTGGAACATGTTTATCTAGAAAAAAAATTGTGTGGAGGTATTTATTTCTTGATCAAACTAATTAATCTGTATCAAGGCTGGAGAGTTGTCCTTCCTCTGCCCTAAAGTTGAAGCAGAGGAGAATTTGGGCTTGGAAAAAACCCTAGAATTTAGGGGGGAAGGGGGATTGGGTTTGGGGGAGGTGGTTTGTGTGGAGGGGTTTTTAAACATGGCTAATTTAAAGCGGTGGGAGCTTTTGAAAGTAGCAGCTATGGCTTCTAAATGAATATGGAAGCATGTTTTGATTACCACATGAATTTTCAAATATCTGGAAAGAGCTTCACAACACTTCATTTCATTGACTTGATTGCTACTATCATGTTGATGCAAGAAAATGTTTGGAAAGCTGCTGTTCTCCCCTCATCACAGACAGTGTGGAGCCTTTCTCTTGAAGCCTTTCTTTTTCACTGTACTAGTGTTTGAGGTATGAGAAGAGCATTGGCTAAGTAGTAAAGATTTGGCTGTTTAGAAATAAATTGTGACCTCTGCTAGAGCTGTGGATAGGGCTAGAAGCCCCAAAAGGAGTTGCAAGACAGTAGCAAGACTTAGAATTGACCAGTAGTCTAGCAATGAAAAAATCAGTTTGCCACGTGTCATCATGGACCCTGAAAATGGGAGAAAGATTAAAGCAGGTTATTGTATCTTCTGTAAAACAGAGGTTCTTCAGTTTTCTTATCAGGATGCAGGGAGCCTGATTGCTACCCGTCTTGTGAAATACATTGTGGTGAGACTCCATTTCCAGAGATATGCACCTGAAATATGTGGCCACCTGAAATTTTGAAACAGCCTTAGATGACTAACAGGAGGATGATTCTAGACTGCCAGTATTCATGAGAAGCTTCTTGGACTAACCAACAGCTTCATCTTTCTTATTATTACCTGCCAATCATCATATTACATGGCAGATTTTTTTGTTCTTTCTTAGTGGGGAAAAAAATCACCTTCCATCACACTCTTATTCGACATTTGCCACATGGCAGGGGGACTGAATACAAAAAGACTAGATTTCATTTAAAATCTTGGTGCTTTTTCTACTAAGCAGATAAATGCTTGTATCAAATATATTGCTTATATGTAATATTAATGATGTATTTCTTCCTGTTGGAGTCTTTTTTTTTTTTTTTTTTTTCCTAGATGGAACATGTTCCCTGTCAAGTTTCTTGTGCTACAAAAGTTATTTGAGATCTCAACCATTACTAAGAGCTGTGACTCATATTCGCTGCGCAAGCATCTTCTGCTGCTTTAGATGTTGCCTAGCTTTTTGTTTGGTTTTGTTTCATAGTTTGTCTACGCTGAGGAGAGTGATAGCTAGGAGAATCGACACCAGGGGTGTATGCCCCAGTACTAGTACAACCTCCTTAGTAGCCTGAGCCGATCTTTCAAAGCTCCTTGGGATCTCCAGGTTCCACACAGAGAAAGAGAAAATGCTTTTGGATAGGTGATTGACAGGCTGTGTAGGACAAGAAGGAATTACATAAAATATTAAAACATGCTTATTTAGCAGGATTAAAGAGAAATCTGTTTAGATTTGATAAGACCTTATATATAAATTTGTAAACCCTTCAAGGAAAGATACATTTTGAACTATTACTGGAAGTAAAACAAACAAAGCAAGCAACCCAAAGTCACATTTGCTGTTGGTTACGAGATGACATCGGAGGTCTTTTTAGAGGATGCTGTTAATGTTTGTGAAGAGTCTGAGTGTTTGTACAGAACGTGAGTTTTCTAGTCCTTGTGGGTACTAGTAGTAACCCCTTCTCTCAATGGACAGTCTTTTATGAGACAGTCCCATTAACATGAGCTACTGGAATTGTTTCAAAAGATGTTTCTTGCTGGGTACCACAAAGAGATGGAAGAGGTCTGTCTTTACCAAGGAGCTCAGTTACAGGAAACCATTCACTGTACTTGGGTGTAGCCCTCCTATTTGCTGAAACATTAGGTAATGTTTAAAACCACCCCTTCAACCAGAGGGGTGTTTCACAGGCATTTTGATAAGCAGTGTTTCTTTTGAACCACAGCAGCATGAACAAGGTCTCCTGTGTTAGTCTTGGAAAAGTGGCATGGAGCAGGAGGTTTTAATTTGTTTGTGGGGTTTTTTGAGAGTTTTATCAGTTGACTGTGGACTGTGACTTCAAATATCATATATCAGACACCTTCTGCTGGACCATAACCATTTAAGGCTTGTTTAGTCCTAAGTGCTTGGGGTTTCTTCTTCAAATCTAATGTCTTTGGAGATTAAACCAACATCTTTCTCTTTTCTTTCTTTTTCTTTTTTAACTTTCGATTCTTATTCCTTGTAGATCAAGAAATCTTGCGTAAATTAGAAAAGGAGAAGATTCTTGTGTTCACACCATCCCGCCGGGTGCAAGGAAGAAGGGTGGTATGCTACGATGACCGATTTATAGTGAAGTTGGCCTTTGAGTCAGATGGCATCATTGTTTCTAATGATAACTACAGGGATTTAGCTAATGAAAAGCCTGAATGGAAGAAGTTCATAGATGAACGCTTGCTGATGTATTCATTTGTTAATGACAAGTAAGTCGTTCAATCTTTATATGTGCCACTAAAATAATTGAGGAAAGGACAGTTTGAAGACTTGTATGAATTTCTTATCTTACACCTAAATCGTTAGATACATGTAGGAAAACAGGAGGAATGGTCGATCGTAGATTTGGTCTTCTGATTAAAAGTACTCAAACTCTTTTTTGCTAGAGCTTTTTTGTAACAATATCTCTTTTAATGCTATTTTTTTCCCTTTTGGTGCATAAACATTGGCATACTATGCTTGATGTATGCGCTGGTATAGTATTCCAATTCTCTTGATATACTGAGCCAGCATTTTTGAGTGCCTGTAGTTAGACTACTAAATCCTAGAGTCATAGAAAAATCCGTGTTGGAATGAACCTCCTCAGGACGTCTCTAGTTCAACTGTTTGCTTAGATCCATCTATGGTATCTTCATACCCCAGCATACAGATCAATTGCAGTTACTACTGGTGGCTTCTTGTAGTGGGAGGGACTCGGTACACTGCCAAGCAGACACTTCTGTTTGAGTGCCTAAATACTGATGCAAGAGTCCTAGACAATCAGCACAGTCTTGTAAAGTTAGTTGTGGTGTTTTAAGAGATCGCTGTCTGTATTGCTGCCCTTACTTTGATTTAGGAATGGGTTGTGTGCAGCCCTGCTTTGCCGCAGTGCAGTCAGCTGAGCCAGCCTACAGGTGTCCACGCAGTCTATTTCGAGGACTCATCTCTCAGGCAGTACCTGCAGCAGAAAGGAGGCCTATCAAAACAGCTCTCAAAGTACCCAGGCTTAAAAATGTCAGCATGGCAGGTTATGGTGGAGGGCACAGTCATGAGGTTCTTGGTCATTGCTTAAGAAATATGAAAAGGCTTGTTTTCTTCCATAATAATTTTTTTTTTTTTTTTTGCTTTGTAGATTTATGCCTCCTGATGATCCTCTTGGCCGCCATGGTCCAAGTCTGGACAATTTTCTTAGGAAGAAGCCTATTGTGCCAGAACATAAGAAGCAACCGTGTCCTTATGGTAATTTGATTTAACTGCTGGAACTGGAGACCAAGCTCATGCTTTGTTTTAACCCTGCCAAAAATGAAACGCTTTTTAACACAGGTTTTTATGTTGTTGTCTTAGCCTGAGAATGATTGAAATGCTGAGCTGATGGTGGAAACCAAGGTGATTTTTTTCATGTGCTAGTTAGAGAATGTTTCTATCTACTAGTTGAACTAAAGGAGCAACTTTATTAATCACTCATAGGAATAGATCCAAAACATCAGGCTCCAGAAAGCCCTTTTCTACTGTGATTTGGTCATAATCTAAGTTTTCTTCCAGAAAATTGATTGAGCTGTCTGAAGTTTAGCTATTGAGCATCCCTACAGGCACACCATCTTGACTTAGCTGAAACCTGCTGGTCTTACGACTCTGTGGGACTTTCCTATTAAGTTTTCTGACTGTATATCTCCTTGGCCCAACAGAGTAGGTGTGTACAGACACACTGACAGTGTCACGTTCAGCTCAAAATGTGGCTGGTAGTGTTGGTCTGCGTTCCTAGAGCACTAGCTACTGCACACCATGAGTGCCTTTCTTCCCCCACAATATGAGAGAGGAGATCTTAGATCTCTCCCTGTGTTGCACAAAACCATTTGCAAGATCTTTCAAATCATCACTAAAACTTTAAATGAGGGGCTTTTCCGTTGTGCGATGATTAACAGATTTTGGTTGAAGTTTTTTTTTTTATCTGATATGTTTGTATTGATAGGGAAGAAATGTACCTATGGACACAAATGCAAATACTATCATCCAGAAAGAGGAAATCAGCCTCAGCGATCTGTAGCTGATGAACTTCGTGCCATGTCTAGAAGCACAGCTGCCAAAACTACAAGCGATGGAGGACTGGTAAAAAGCAATAGTGTTCCCTGTAGCACTAAAAATGACGGCACTTCTGAGCTGAAGCGTGCTGCTCCAAAGAGGCAATCGGATCCCAGTATAAGGACTCAAGTCTATCAAGACTTGGAGGAAAAGCTTCCCACCAAAAACAAATTGGAAACCAGGTCTGTACCTTCTTTAGTTAGTATACCAAGTTCTGCTGCAAAACCCCAAAGTACTGCACCTTTAACTAACGGCCTTCCATCCGGAGTTCACTTTCCACCTCAGGATCAAAGACCACAGGGACAGTATCCTGCAGTGATAATGGCAACCAAAAATCACGGAACGCCAATGCCTTATGACCAGTATCCAAAATGCGAGTCTCCTGTGGATGTAGGGTATTACTCTATGCTGAGTGCATATTCAAATCTAAGTATGTCTGGGCCACGTAGTCCTGAAAGGCGCTTCTCCTTGGACACAGATTATAGGATTAGCTCTGTAGCTTCCGACTGCAGCAGCGAAGGGAGCATTAGCTGTGGCAGTAGTGATTCCTATGTGGGTTACAGCGACCGCTCTTACATGAGTTCGCCAGACCCACAGCTAGAGGAGAACTTGAAGTGCCAACATATGCACCCCCATGGCCGCCTTAACACTCAGCCCTTCCTGCAGAGCTACCACGAGCCTCTCACGCGAGTGCAAAGCTATAGTCATGAAGAACCAAAGCATCACCACAAACCTCCGATTCCATACATGGCTGTGCATCTACAGCATCCAACAGTTGGTGCTCGTTCTAGTTGCCCAAATGACTACTCTACATCTCAGAGTTCATCACATTCAAAGACCATGCATCTGGGGAGAGCCCTCGTGTCCACCAGAATAGACAGCATTTCAGACTCACGTTTGTATGATAATTCTCCATTAAGACACAGGAAGCCTTATTCTGGCCAAGATGGGCTTGGAAGTTGGGATAGGCAGAGTTACGGGATGGATGCCTATGGCTACCGCCAGACCTACTCCTTGCCAAGTAACCCCACGCAGCCGTGTTATGAGCAGTTTGCCTTCCAAAGCTTACCCGAACAGCAGGACCAGACCTGGCGCGTTCCTTACTGTGGAATCCCTCAAGACCCTCCAAGGCACCAGGACACCCGGGAGAAGGTTTACATTAACCTCTGCAACATCTTCCCCCCTGATCTTGTGAGGATCGTTATGAAGAAGAACCCTCACGTGACGGACGCTCAGCAGCTCGCTGCAGCCATCTTAGTGGAAAAATCTCAGCTAGGTTATTGAGAGATGATGCATCTTTGTGGTGTCCAGTAGTTTTCAGCTCAGCTCTAAGGCTGAGGGAGGTTTGCTACAATAGCATTTGGGATCTCCTTCTCAGCAAGGAGGTTATATAGTAATCCGTTTATGTGAAATACTGTATCATGGAGTCTGTATGTATAGCCCCATGCATCGGAAGTACCAGATATGTTTTGTGTTCTACTTTGAAAATTTTTAAATGGCTATTTTCACAGCTGGAGAATGTTCCAGTTTAAATTAATATATATATATATATATATGAAAAAAAAAAAAAATCTGTGGTCTCTGGTTATAATATTTGGTGCATCAGGGGTTTATATGCAGCACTTTCTATCCTTGTTACATGTTGTTGGGATTTTTGTTTTCATTTTTTAACTTGCTGGATGTTTGTCCTTGGGCTGTATGGTATTAAAACAACCTGCAGAAAGAGGATTTCGCTACTTCTGGCAGGCATTTTTCAAGCCAAGTTTTTGAACTTTTTACACCACCATAAATATGTATGTATGTTTGTTTGTTTGTTTTTTGTGAACTTTTTTGTGCTATAATCATCTATTTATAGAAAACAAAGATTTACTGCAGCACTGACTTCATTTTTTTAGAGAAATAATTAAGTTACCAGTTAACAGTGAAATGGGTAACAATATATTGGTAATTTATAGTATGGCACTTTTCATTACTTTGTTTTGTTTAAATAGTTATGTGTTTTGTTGATGCAGTCAATTAGTAAGATCAGATGCAATCAGAGGAGGGAAAAAAAAATTATTTTCTTTTTTACTAATTTTTGGTAAGGTAAAATCCTTACTGCCTGATTTTTGAAGGTGCTGAGCATTTGCAGCCCCCTTTGAACTTAACAGAAGCTGCAAATGCTCAGAACCTCCCCAAACTAGGCCACCCTGTTTCAGTTCCCATGTGTTGTTACCCAGCTCTGTGTATTTCTGGTCAGTAGAAGGGGACCTGAAACCGTGGGGTCCCATTTAGTTGTTTTATGTGTTTTTTTCTTTGTATTGCTGCACAAGTGTACTGGATAAAATATGCTTTTCATAAAATATTTACTTGTTTTTAAATGAATTTAATTATCTCAATGCAAGTTTTGTATTTAAGATACTGTTTGATTTTTCTTGCTATTTATCAAGGCTGGCCTGAAAAGGTTTTGTGTGTTGAGGATATGCAACATTTATTAACTGCACTATGGTAATGATATTGTAGCTCAAAATAATAACTTAACCTTTTTTTTTTCCTTTTTGTTTCAGCTGGGGAAGGGAGGGTTGCGGGGAAAGAAGATACTGTATGTGTTCCTGAAGTTAGTTTTTGCCCTGTGGCATCATGTAGGCCTGATTCTTGCCACAAATAGCGTAGTTTAGAAACAGACAAACCAAGTCTGTTTTAGTATTAGTAAGGGATATTTCTGGTTTTAAGTCATGGGTTTTACTAGCACCTCGTAAGCTTTTTTACATATATATATATATGTAATAGAAATAGATTTTTCAGTTGATGTCAGATGTACTTATGTAACTGACTGCCGACAGTTTTAGGTTTCCATCCATTGTAACGATGTTCAGTGTTAAAAAAAGAATCACTAGTTTACACTTATTACTGCTGATAATTTTGGTACACTTGCTGGCATTTAAAGTAAGGCCCTGAAGAACCAGAAAGTACCTTTTACTGTTGATACAAATTGTATCTTTTTAACTGAGAACTATTTTGATTTGTAGATTTAGTAGAAACACAAATGTATAACTATAACTAGTCTTTTGGGCAACATTTTATCCCTTATTTAAAAATTAGACATTTCAGACATAGAATAGACTTAGCCAAGTAAAAGTACATATTTATTTAGGTGTCTGTCTCAGTTTCACATGTTAAAAAGAAAAAAGAAACTATTGGCATCTTCTTCCTTCTAAAATCTTTGTAGTGGGAACTCACTAAAATAAAGGTAAAATGCTGCCTGAAAATGATGTCCAAGCACCTTTGAATACGAAGACGTTTTCACTACTTGTGCGACACCGTGTGTTGCAGCGAGTAGGGTTTGGGTATACAGTAAATGCTTCTAAAGAGCATTGTGCTTATAGACATATCCAATAATCTGAACCATGTTCAGCAAACCAATTCAGGACTACGTAGTGCTCATGCAGCTTCTGCTGCTGATGTGCTGCGGGATCTGCCATCGCCTGTCCCTGCGGCGATTCCGGAGGGGCTCTGCACCATCTGTCCTGCGTTGTCTGCTTAGGGAGAGGACCTCTTCACCTGTGGCAACAGTTTTTCCCTGGATTTGGTTGGTTGCCATCTGTAGAGCATGTTTTAATGTAGAGATTGATGCAGTGCTGACGCTGAGGTTTGGACTGGGAAATGGGTCTCGTCTTAGTTGTACACTAAGATTTTTTAAATTGAATTACACTTAAGTACTACACCATAGTGTAGATGCAGCTGTTTTAATAATGCAATTATAATATTTGTGTTTTTAATGGGTTTCTACATTTATTTTTTATGTAGGAATTTACTTCTGCAAAAAGTTGAATTCCTTTAAGCATGAACAGAACATGTACATAATAAGAGGCGTTTTGTCTTTTTCCCCGATCACGTGAGCATCAGAATGCTTCCTGCCACGTACCTGTAGCAGTCTGGCCTAGAGTTTTGGATCAGCAGGCTTAGCCACGTTGTTAAAACGGTGCGAGGCGGCGCTTGGGACTGTGTGCTGCAGCACCCAGACCTGGGTTATCAGTGTTGATTGCCTCTGCGTACGCTTAGTGCAGTATTGATTCTCTGAAAGCGTGTCAGTTGCTAGAGGATACTTGTAATAGGTTCTGTGCTTTGTACTCAAGCACTGAAAATGCTTTAAAAGTATAAGAACAGGAGCAATTTGGTCATTTTTAATGTTGTGCAATGATGTGATAGTTCCCCTTAGACTATTATGTTGGGTAAAGCAAATTTGCTGTGGACAGAATATTGGCCTTGATATTTCCTTTGGTTTTGCTGTGATAATAGAATCAGGAGTTGTGTGTGAACTGCTCCACGATGAAGAGATCAGTCTATATATTTAACAGCCTTTAAAGAGGACACCAGTAATAAACATGAACGCAACGATAGTGGTCAAATACTACATTTGTCAATGTAATTGTGTTGATGCAAATAACTGAACTGTAACATCCCGTGTAACTTAGACAGTCAAGGTAGTTCCGTGATACTGTCTTTGCCCTAGCTGAGTGCTAGAATTGCAGTGAAGGATTAATTACCTTCGAGTTAGGCCTGTCCTACCACTAAGAGGGCAGCGCTTTTCCTTGTCTTCAGTTCTTGAGAGTTGTTTTGTTGCTTAGCAGAAGCTCTGTGTTTGTAGATACAATCCCAAGCTTTATAGCTACATCAGTAACGGTATATAGATACACACTGTGTTTTGAATGCACATTTACATTAGGCATCTACCCACAACTGGTTTGTATACAACAATGTGTTGCCAACATTTAGAGTTTTTATATACGTCACATGGCTACCTAACTTTGAGGTAAATGTGCCCAGGCTGTGACAGTATTAATTGCTTTGGTTTTTTTCTTTTTTTTTTCCTTAAACGTGCGTGTCTGTATATGCATATATACACACTCACATGTACTTGGCAAGTGGGTTTAAGACTACTGCTGATAGTCTGAGGTAAGATTGTATCTTTTCAGGTGTCCTGTTTTCTTTGGTATGTCTGAATTATAGCTTGATCCTCCACTGCAGAATAGCTCTGGGGAGAGCCAAAAGCCTGATGGGTTCATGTGACACCCCAAAAAGAAGGTGTGCCAGTCTGGCGAAGCCCTTGAAGGGGATTTTTGCAGCCTTGGAGTATGTGGACTGTTAATGATCTTCTGCTGTGAAAGTTGTAGCTAATGGTGAACACTTTTCCAAAAATATCAAAGCTATCACTGTAAACCAGAGTACCTCACTTGGAACGGAAAGCTGGGGGCGTTCGCCCCAGCAAGGCGAGCGCCGGAGGGCTAAATGCCTTGGGTGAGAGATGCTGCAGCATCTTGCTGCAGTAAGAGACTAGCAAAACATTTATCAGTTTCATCAGTTGATGGTTTGACCAAGGTATTTTCGATGTGTAAAGCTTGAAAAATGGGACACAATGCTTTCAAACTCTCTGGGGCATTTAGAAAGATACCCAACTGACTTTTCATTGCTACTGAAAATTTAAAAAACTGTGCAATTAAAGAGACCGTTTTTTTTAAACTAAAAATAATTTAGAAATTATTTATTTTGATTTACAGTGTGACTCTTGCTAATTTATTCCTTGCATTATAAGGCCATGGTGGAGTGCCGTTTATATTTTTTATTTATCATAGGAACTAAAACTGCTGAGAAGAAAAAAAATAGATTTCAACTTAAAACAAAACTCTATGGCCTTGTTTTGTTTTTTATGAAAGGGCTGAGGTTTTATAAATGTCAAATCACGTGTTTTATATACTTTGTAAATTTTAGAGAAGCATAGTTTAAGAGTTTTGTTCAAATTAAATATGTACGTGCACGTTGTTTAGACTAACCATGTAACTAATCCTAAAATCATCTGTGTTAAGTAATTATTCCAGCTAACCTTTTGTTAGGTAACGTGGGAGAGATTGAGACATCATCTTTAGCTGTTCTAGAATACATTTTGTGTATCTTAGTTTCTCCCAGAAACTGCTGATCGAGTCACCTAAAGACACGTGAAATGTCTGTTTGCATGTGAATCATCCTACTGTGTGCTGGGTTTTCCTTGCAGTGCATTGAAATGTGCACACTGGTGCGTGTGAAGTACGTAGCAGACATTTATGAAGGCACTGTCAAATACAGCGTACTGGTCATAGTTAAGAGTATGCTTTAAATAATTTTCCGCCTTCCATTTTGAGGTCTTAAAGGGTTGTCATAACTTGTGCTTGGAGTGTTTATTACTCTGTCGGCCCTTTAACCTAGGTGGTTGCAATAGTTCTTGTCCCCTCTCTTAGACTTAACAGCCATTGGAGGGCCCAGGCTCCTGA